GAGAGAAACATCAATGTATGGTTGCCTTTCATGCATCCCCTGCTGGGAACTGGCCTGCAGGGAACTGGTCTGCAACCCAGGAATATGCCCTGACTGGGAATTGAACCGCGATCCTCTGGTTCGCAGGCCTGTGCTCAATCCACTGAGCTACACCAGCCAGGGCTTGGAAATAGACTTTGATACAGAGAGTTTCATACCAAAGATTTATTTGGCAGTGCTCTTGGGAGACCTACCCTATAGAGAAGTGAAGGAAACAGGATTGAGCAGAGGGAGTGGATGACACGATGTGATTGCAACTGAGTCCTCAGCTGGTCCTAGGATTCTCCAGGGACTTATGAAATGGAGATAATTCTTCTGAGTTGTCCCAAATTAAGGCAAAGGGGTCAGGACATATCCTTTTTTTTTTTTAAATTTAATTTACTTATTTTTAGAGATCAGGAAAGGAAGGGAGAAAGAGAGGGACAAAAACATCAATATGTGGTTGCCTCTTGGGCATCCCCACTGGGGACCTGGCCCACAATCCAGGCATGTGTCCTGACTGGGAATTGAACCGGTGACCCTTTGATTCACAGGCCAGTGTTCAATCCACTGAGCCACAGCAGCCAGAGCTACCACAAAGATCCCAAAGTTCAAAACGGATTTTTTAAAGATATTTATTTTTAGAGAGAGGGAAAGAGAGGAAGAAAGAAAGAAAAATTGATGTGTGAGAGATACATCAATCAGTTACCTCTTGCAGAACCCCAACTGGGGACCTGGCCTGCAACCCAGGAACGTGCCCTGACTGGGTATAGAACCGGTGACTACATTTCCCATGCCAGCACTCAATCCACTGAGCCATGCCAGTCAGGGCAAAAAGGGATTCTTAACTGTGATCCACAGAAGAAGCATTACATCTTTGGTTTTCAGGACCTCTAGACCTCAAACTCAAATTCACTTTGAGTGAAAATAAGTGGAGGCCACTTGGTTTCTATCTTAGACCCATGTAATTAATTCCCAAGTCCACATACTCTACCTGTTGGAGACAAAAATCATACAATGGTGGTTGATGTGTTCTGGGGGGTGATGACCTATTTTCCTAAAGTTTCATCTTGAAGCTGGTGCCTCATCTGTATCTTTAAGAGGCCACTGAACTGCTCTATCAGACTGGTGGCCTCTGAATGGGGCAGTACAAGACCAGTGGACCCTTTGGTTGCATGCCCACTGCCGTACCCCCTTTACTGTAATGTAGATCTCTTAGACTAAAGTAATGTAATGTGAGCTCTATGTTGATGGCTCGAGTATCCTGTAAATCCTTAGAGAGTGGTACTAACTGAGACCCTGTGGGCAGGAAAGGCAAACCTATACAGGCATATCTCAGAGATATTGTGGGTTCAGTTCCGGACCACTGCAATAAAGCAAGTATTTCAGTAAAGGGAGAAGTAATCCTTTTGCTGGTCTTGCCTTCAATTTGTTTAAAAAAAAAATGCAATATTGGTGAAGCACAAAAAAGCGAAGTGCAATAAAACGAAGTATGCTTATACTCAGAATATGTGTCGATCTCAGTCAGAAGTGATGGAATCTAGTGTCCCCAACTTGCCCCTATGTGGTTGGTTATTTTCGTCAAGGAATAGCACCATATCCAAGGCTTAGTGTTGGTATTTATTAATGGCAGTTTGGACATGGGCAGCAGCAGTAGCTAATTGAGCCCAGGGGAGTCAGAGCTCATGCTTTGGACCCATGCATAGCCTGTGTTCCTAACACTACTCAGTTGAGTGTACTCATTGTTTGACAGATAGCGGCTGACTCATCCTGCTACTTGGTTGTTCATTGCCTGATCTGATGGATGATTTCTGGTGGGCATTATCCTCTGATACAGAGATCTTCATACTTCAAGATTATTCCCATGGGTCTACTGACATCTCATCCTTGGACCTTCTTGTCCTTGATCGTCTACTCTATATTTTCAAGCTCCTGACCAACAAATCAGGACATTTGTCACTGTTCTCATGATGTGTATATTCTCACCTTTCTTTCCACACAAAGTAGATGACCAAATGTATTGTAAAATCTCTTTACTAGGAGAATTTCCCCTTACCACTTTCTTTTAGGGCCACTCCTGACTGCGGTCACAATGTGGCAGTAATACAGTGTCTGGCTGGTACCTGCATACCATGCCAACTCATCTGTGAACAAAGCTTAGACTTTTTCCTTCTCTGATCACTCCTCACCAGGGATCCTTGCCATAGACCATTTATGTCTCTCTCCCTGAATTCATGTGTTGAAACCTAATCCCCAGTGTGATGGTATTTTGAAGTGGGGCCTTTGGGAGGTGATTAGGTCATGAGGACAGAGGCTGCATGGATGGGATTAGTTCCCTGATAAAAGAGACTGTAGAGAGCTCTCTTGCCCCTCTGCCATGTGAAAACACGGTGAGAAGATGGCTGTATGTGAACTAGGAAGTGGGTACTCACCAAACACTAAATCTGCTTGCACCTTGATCTTGGTCTTCCCAACCTACAGAGCAGTGAGAGATCAATTTCTGTTTTTATAAACTGTTTTTCAGTTTATGGTATTTTGTTATAGCAGTCCAAAGGGATTAAGACAATCCCAAAAAAGGTCATAGGTGTGAGCAAAGGAAGAGATGCCAGTGTAAGACATAAATGGCATGAAAGTCTGGGCCACTTGCTTTTCAGTTTCTTGTGCCCTCTGACCCTTCTTATGCCAGATCCCAAGATAACCACTACCACAACAGAATGTGTTCTTTCTTGGCCCAGCCTTTCTAATGACATGGAGGACAGTTCACTGTGTGGTGGGCAGTTCTGGCTACTTGGTCACTTGATGAACTGTTGTCAGTTGCTCTGTCCCTATTGGAGTCCAGTAGCACTCCAACAGCTGCTTTTCAAATGGTATGTATTTCTTCACTACAGCTGGCAGGGCTTTGCTTCAGAGCTCTAGGGGGTCTACATTGCAATTCAGTTAGAGCTTGCCAAGCTGCACACAGCTTCTTTTCCTCCCACAGACACCCTAGTCTCATAGGGTCTGCCAGGTCATATGGCTGCAGGAGTCTCTTTTGGTCTCGATTGAAGTTGTTAGTCTTTAGTGTCAGCTGGTAAGTTGGTGACAGTTATATTTTCAAGTGTGAAATATATTGCTATAGAATCCTAAGAAATTGGTATTTTACTTAGTTGTGGATGGTGTGAGATATGATGATAATTGGTTCTTTACCTTGAAGAAATCCAGACCACTGGACCTCTAAAAATTTGACCAGTGTGGCAGTTTCCTGAATCTTTGTAGGGTTATTATACATTCTCTGAATGCATGTATTTTTCCAGGACCTCTGATGTACTTGTCACTTCTTTTTTTTTTTTTTTTTTTTTTTTTTCCCTCTCTAAAGATTTTATTTATTTTAGACAGAGGGCAAAGGAGGGAGAAAGAGAGGGAAAGAAACATCAGTGTGTGGTTGCCTCTCGCACGCCCCCTACTGGGGACCTGACCTGGCCTGCAACCCAGGCATGTGCCCTGGCTGGGAATCAAATCAGCGACTCTTTGGTTCACAGGGTGGCGTTCAATCCACTTAGCCACATCAGCCAGGGCTACTTGCCACTTCTTGCTCTTCTGGACTGATTAGCATGACACTATAGGCACAGGCATAACTTGTTTTGTTTTTTTTTTTTTGCACCTTGCTTTATTGTACTTCACAGATGTGTGTGCATGTGTATGTTTTGTTTTGTTTTGTTTACAAATCGAAGGCTAGACCCTCTACCAGCAAAAATATTTTGACTCACTTGATTGCAGTGGTCTATAACTGAACCCACAATATTTCCATGGTACATCTGTACATTAAGTCCTCACTTAATATTGGTGACAGGTTCTGCAACTTTAAGGAAAACAAGGTTTAACAAAACCATTTAGCATAGGCTAATTGATATACTCGTAAATAAGAGTTAAGTTCCCATGGCATCTCATCAATGGTATAACAAAATGATGTTGAATGAAATGTTTGATCCACTGGTCCACTGCTATATAGTGGACCAATATCACATTCTTCCAAATGTACCAACAGTCATGGCTCTTTCTATTGAGAGGATGACAGAAGTCCTGGGGAAAGACCATAAGTTTATGTTTTGTCCTTCCCATGTGGATGCAAACTTCTTCTGATCCACCTTTCTGATCTAATTGGGATAGAAAACGACCTATTTACTAGATTGATGGCTACATAACACCGACCACAGGCTATATGAAACTGCTCTACAAAAGTGCCATATAGGAAACAGCAACTGCAATTGGAGTGACTATTTGCTTAAGTTTATGGTAGATCACTGCCACCTGCTGTGATCTATTCAGTTTTTGAAGACGCCAAACTGGTGGTTCACCAGGGGCCACCTCTCCTGTATTCTTTATGTCTTTGAGGGTGGCACTAACCTCTTCCACTTTCCCTGGGATATGGTACTTTTTTTAAATTTTGGTGTGGGGCAGTTGCAGACCTCCACTTGGCCTTCATCATTTACTTGTTGGGTCCAGAAGCAAAAGTGAGTATTTTGCGATATCAAAGGATGTCCATTTCAATTATTTGATGTATGTACACATGGGGAAATGACCACTAGGTGGACCCATGGTCTCAGTCAGTGACTATAATGTGAACCAGACCTGAGCTGGGACCCCAGCTATTATCCAAACCCCATATGCTCCTACTCTAACAGAGGGCCATGGTATAACTTTGGGTTGTCAACTATCAGTGTTAATTCAGATCTTTTGTCCAAAAATCCTCAAAAGGTCTCAGTATTCTCCCATTTTTTCAGTAACAGTCATCAACATAAATGATTTGTGTTGGCATTTTTATCTTTCTTAGTATGGGCCGTTATTTTCCCCAAGCCTCCTGGGACTATCCCAGAGGTACATTCACCCTGTATCCCTGGGGTCCCGCTAGGATTTAAATCCTACATCACAGGAGAGTGCTCCTATATCAGTAAATTCTTCCACACCTAACTTTATGTCCCAACTCCCTTGATCCAGCACTCTGAGTGTCCAGTTCCATGTATAATGTCACCAGATCCTGTAGGTATGTATATATATTAGCCCAATCTTGAAACTCCTTTAGTGTGTATTCCTTCTCTCTCTCTCTCTCCCTTTTTTAGAGGGTCAGGCATCCTCTTTGAAGCTTTGCTAGAATATGATTCTTATTTTTGGTCCTATTGCCAGGAAAGTAGGTGAAAATAAATCCTTTAGCGGGTATTATCTTGTAAAGAACCTGCCTCCTTTGAAGCCTCTGAGTGATTTTTATGTAAACCAGAAATGGGCCAATTCTGCAGACTCAGAGGGTTCAGAGAAATCTGGGGATTCAAGATTCTCAGTTGCATCTACCCAGATGTACCTATCTCAAGTATCAGGATTTTACCACCTTTAAAAAAAAAATATATATATATATATATAATTGATTATGCCATTACAGTTGTTCTATTTCCCCCCTTCATTCCCCTCCACCCTGCACACCCCTCCCCCACTATTCCCCCCTTTAGTTTATGACCACGTCTCAAGTTCTTTAGATTCTATATTTTCCCTACTATTCTTGCCCTCCCCCCTATCTATTTTCTTTTTTTTATATAGATTTTTAATTTATTTATCTTTAAAGGGGGAGAGAAGGAGAAAAATATCAATGTATGGTTGCCTCTTGTGTGTCCCCTGTTGGGAACTGGCCTGCAACCCAGGCATGTACCCTGACTGGGAATCGAACCGCGATCGTGTGGTTCACAGGCCCGTGCTCAATCCACTGAGCTACACCAGCCAGGGCCCCCCTATCTATTTTCTATCTACCGTCTATGCTACTTATTTCCTGTACCTTCTCCCCCCTTCTTCTCCTCCCACTCCCCTGTTGCTAACCCTCCATGTGATCTCCATTTCTATGGTTCTGCTCCTGATCTAGCTGTCCTCTTAGTTTGCTTTTGTTTTAGGTGTGGTTGTTAATAACTGTGAGTTTGCTATCCTTTCACTGTTCATCTTTTTTATCTTCTCTTTTCTTAGATAAGTCCCTTTAACATTTCATATAATAAGGGCTTGGTGATGATGAACTCCTTGAATTTGATCTTATCTGAGAAGCACTTTATCTCTCCTTCCATTCTAAATGAAAGCTTTGCTGGATAGAACAATCTTGGTTGTACATCTTTGGATTTCATGACACTGAATACTTCTTTCCAGCCCCTTCTTGCCTGTAAGGTCTCTTTTGAGAAATCAGCTGACAGTCTGATGGGAACTCCTTTGTAGGTAACTGTCCCCTTATCTCTTGCCGCTTCTAGGGTTCTCTCCTTCATTTTAATCTCGTCTAATGTAATTATGATGTGCCTTGGTGTGTTCCTTCTTGGGTCCAACTTCTTTGGGACTCTCTGAGCTTCCTGGACTTCCTGGAAGTCTATTGCCTTTGCCAGATTGGGAACGTTCTCTATTATTTGTTCAAATAAGTTTTCCACTGGTGGCTGTTCCTCTTCCCCTTCTGGTATCCCTATAATTCGGATGTTGGAGGGTTTAAAGATGTCCTGGAGGTTCCTAAGCCTCTCCTTATTTTTTGGAATTCTTGTTTCTTCATATTTTTCTGTTTGGTCATTTTCTTCTTCCTTCTGGTCCACTCCCTTGATTTGAGTCCCAGTTTCCTTTCCATCACTATTGGTTTCCTGTGCATTTCCCTTCATTTCAGTTAGTTTAGCCTTCATATGTTCCTCTAATTTGTGACTAAAATCAATCAGTTCTGTGAGCATCCTGATCACCAGTGTTTTGAACTGTGCACCTGATAGGTTTGGCAATTTCTTGTTTGCTTAGTTATCGGCTCCGGGGCTTTGAGTTCTTCTTGAGCCATGTTTTGGTCTGTTTGCACCTGTTATGCATGAGGGGCGGAGCCGTAGTTGTTCACCAGGGTGGGGCAACCCGAGTTGCTGGTGCTGTATGTGGGGGTGGGGTCAGAGAGGGACAATAGCGGTCCCCTCTGCTGCTTCCCACCACTGGGGCCTGCGTGGTCTGTCTCACTGCTAGCTCCTTCACTGGTTTATCTGTGCGCCAATGTGTGACCTCGATCAGCCTGCTGCCTTGCGCCCTCAGTGGGTCCACCTGTTGCTATTCCACACCTGGGATCCGCCCATGGCCGCCTGCCCACCTAGGTCTGTCAGGTGGATCTTTCCTGGCTGACCCCACTCTGCCGCTGGCTCCGCCCCTTTACCTGTCTGGCTCAAGGGTTTGTTGTTGTCAGACTTCAGTATAGTTCAATTTTCTGTGGTTTGGCTGCATTTTTGTTGCTAAAACTTTGTTGTTTTTAAACTTGATTGTGCGAGGAGGCACAGTGTTTTCACCTATGCCTCCATCTTGGTGAAAGTCTACCCCCTTTTTAAAGAATCCTAACCCAGGCATAGGAAATCTACTGGGGCTGAGAATTCAACCTTTTCTAAAGCTCTGCTACTCATACAATTAAGATTAGTCCTCTACTCTGATGCCCACTGGATGCAGAGATTAAGATTTCCTTAAATGCTTTCAAGAGCCCTGGGTGTCTTTTTCAGTCTGTCTTGACTTCGTGGGCAATTCTATGGAGCTTATAGTTACCATTTCCTCACACCTCTCAAGTGCCAGAGATATTGCAGTAGGAGCATATCCTTTCAACCAATAACCCCTTCCAGTGGACACTGCTGACAGTTTCAGTAACTGCATCACTTCAGCAAGTTAGAGACTATCCATATCCACCTAACACCATAAAAGAGTTCCTTTAGTCAGCCAACAGGTGAATAATTTATCACCCAAATGCCATTTTAGAGTTTACTTGCTAGAACCACTCCTGACACAAACTCTTAAATTGGATCTCTTGGAAAAAGACTAAGATGAAGAGACCCATGAACAAGGTTTACTGGGGAGAGCTAGCACTTTCAGGAGATGCAAATGTAAGGATTTGAGGAAAGCAGGGTTTGGCAGAGGGGGAAACTGACCCACAGTGAAAATATAACAGAGGCTTCAGCTGATCCAGTGGGGAACTTAGGTGCTAGAATGGCCCTTCCAAATTGTCCAAAATTGAGGCAAAGAGGCCAGATCTTTGTGTGCCTGCATGAACCAGAAATTGCCTCACCCAAGATTACAGGACCAGTAGGAGGTCGTGTAACCTTGGGTGAGGCAATTTCCTGCCACAGAAAGCACTGCCCTGGGGAAGCAGCTGTGTGCCATCAGCACCTGATATTCCCACCAGCTGGAGAATGGACTCAGTGGCCCCAGAGGGGACATGGGTGGAGTACTATAGTATTAAATGCATTAAATGAAGTATTATTGCACACAGATGTGCCCAGAACTGTGCCAGAGCCCATGGAATTACATGACCTGGCTATCCAGAACTTCATAAACTACATACAGTATTTTTAAAAATGTGTATGTTATCTGTTTCCATGTACTAGAACATAAGCTCTGGGAGGGCAGGAACTATGTTTTATCACTGTCCCCCAGGTGTCTAGAACTTGATTTGTAGTTGAATTAATCCAATTGGAGGCTTGAGATACAAAGAAGTGGGAAGTGGCTATGTATTATGCAGAACAGTTGTGGCAAGCATACAAAGAAAAAGGTGAGGTTGAGCGTGGGTGTGAAGACTTCATCTGGAACCATGGCACCAAGCCAGATTATTCTCTACTCAAGGGTGAGATTCTGCATGAAGGAAGTCCAAGCGTTCATCATGTGGGATTTGTTTATTTATTTTAGTTAAACATTAAGAGAGAAAAAACACTTTGGAAAGCATACAGAAAAGATAGTTGATGTTGAATCACTTATAAAATGAACCTTAAGGAGTCCAACTAAAATGCACCTTTGGCCCTGGCTGGTGTAGCTCAGTGGATTGAGCACAGGCTGTGAACCAAGGGTCGCTGGGGTCACCGGTGTGATTACCAGTCAGGGCACATGCCTGGGCTGTGGGCCAGATCCCCAGTAGGGGGCATGCAAAAGGCACGACACACTGATATTTCTCTCCCTCTCTCCTTCCCTTCCCCCTCTCTCTTTATTTATTTATTTAAAAATAAATAAATAGAACCTTTAAAAAAGTGGGGGGAGTAGTGGGGAGAAAATGCAGACAACTGTAATTGAACAATAAAGAAATTAAAAAAAAAGACAACTGTAATTGAACAACAATAAAGAAATTAAAAAATAAGGCAATTGTAATTGAACAATAAAGTGATTTTTTAAAATAATAATACAATATAAATAAAAATAAAAGGTTAAATAAAAATAAAGGCAAAATAAAAATTAGACAAAAAAAAGAAAAGTTACTTTCTAAAAATTCACCTTTGGTCAACTTTTGCTTGTTTAAATTCCTCTTGACCTCCTGTCCTAGTGCAGATGAAAATGACAGCTACCATGAGAGGTATGGCGTTGGAGACTCTGGGACGATCAGAGGGTGTGGGGGTTATATACTCCAGCAGTGTCTTTCTTTCTTTGCTTTTTTTTTCTTTTCCTTCCTTCCTTCTGTCCTTCTTTTCTTCCTTCCTTCCTTCCTTTTTTTTCCTTCCCTCCCTCCCTCCTTCCCTCACATCTGGACATTTTTTCATTGCTTTCAAGAGAGAGGAAGGGAGAAAGAAAAATATTGATGCAAGAGAGAAGCACTGAGTGCCTGCCTCCTGTTTGCACCAGGACCAGGGATCCTACACAGCTACCAGGTCACGCTCCAGCCAACTGAGCCACACTGGTCAGGATTTCTCTGGCAGTTTTTTGATCTCCTCAGCCTTACTTTCATCTCTGTTATCACCAAGAAGTGCAAGCATCCTGTGGCAACCTGCTCTGTGAAAATGCCATCCAGTGTCTTCACCTCTTGAGCTGCAGTAGAAGGCCTGGGCTTATGGTCCCCATGGTCCAGTTCCCTGAAAAGTCAGTGAAGACCACTCTTGTCTGCAGCCAAGTGATGCTGCTCTTCCCACAGGCCAGGCTGTGGATTCTCCAGAGGTCCTTCATGGCCTTTGCATACATGATAGATTCACAGGACATGTCGGTGGCCCCCAGAAATACAGACCACCCACTTCAATGACACCAAAGGAGCAGGTGTAGCCAGTATAGGTCTGGGATGCCTCACACCCAGGGAAGCTGAACAGCTCCACCAGGCAGGGGACCATCTCGTCCTTCTGCTCAGCATGGCCCAGTCAGCTGGAGCCACTGAAGGCCCAGAAGAAGATGCTCTTCTGGGAGTCAAGGACCACCATGTGGTTAGCACCACAGGCCACATCTCATACAACCACACTGGGGACTGGCAGAATCTGCCCATCTTTGTCTCCTCGATGAAGATGACCACTTAACAGGATGCCAGCTTGCAGCCGTACTCTATGCGCTGAGCCCTAGCAATGAACTTCCCATCTGAGTTGTGTCCCAGTTGATCATATTCAGGGCACCCAAAGGAACAGAGGTTTCCTTTGCAATCCATTATAATACTGAACTCAGCCCCACAGGCCATTTTGATAATTGGCTGGCCAATGTACATTATTTGTGTAAGGCTCAAGACATGTCCATCTGGTTGCTAAGGCCCAGCTGCCCCATCTTGTTCTCTCCAGATGCAAACATAGAGCTCGTTTCTATTAAGGCCAGGGTGTGGTTCCTCCCACAGGCCACTGACATAATCACTCCATGGTTGAGACCCTCAATGATTCTGGAGGATTCAACTCTCTTCGTGTCACCACATCCTAGCTGCCTCAGCTCCATAGCTTCCCTTTCATGTTGATAAGGACGCTGTGGGCAGTGTGTGACCCTGAAACCACCATCCACACCTGGACCCCTCACAGGTACTGACTGATATCTGTGGGCCCCCCACAAATTCTGACCAAGATTGTGGTAGGCAACTTGTTCTTTAGGTTCTTTTTTTTTTTTTTAAAGATTTTGTTTAGCTCTGGCTGGTGTGGCTCAGTGGATTGAGTGTGGGCCTGTGAACCAAAGAGTTGCAGGTTTGACTTCCAGTCAGGGCACATGCCTAGGTTGTGGGCCAGGTCCCGAGTTGGGGGCGCACAAGAGGCAACGACACATTGATGTTTCTCTCTCTTTGTTTTTCCTTTCTGCTCTCTCTAAAAATAAATAAATAAGTAAAATATTTTTAAAGAAAGATTTGTTTATTCTGCCTTGGCTGGTGTGGCTTAGTGGATTGAGTGCCAGCCTACAAACCAAAGGGTCACTGGTTGGATTCCCAGTCAGGGCACATGCTTGGGCTGTGGGCCAAGTCCTCATAGGGAGCATGCAAGAGGCAACTACACATTGGTATTTCTCTCCCTCCCTCTCTCTTCCTTCCCTTCTCTCTAAAAATAAATAAAAAAATTTTAAAAGATTTTTTTTTTAGAGAGAGGGGACGAGAAAGAGAAACATTGATGGTTGCCTCTTATATGTGTGTCCCAACTGAGGATCCCAACCTCAACCCAGGGATGCACCCTGACCTGAAATTCAACCAGCAACATTTTACTTTGTGGGATGATGCCCAACCAACTGAGCTACACTGGTCAGGGCTAGGCATTTCTTTTCTTCTTTTTTTTTTTTAAATATTTTATTTATTTATTTTTAGAGAGAGGGGAAGGGAAAGGAAGGAGAAAGAGTGGGAGAGAAACATCAATGTGTGGTTGCCTCTCATGTGTCCCCTGCTGGGGACCTGGCTTGCAACCCAGGCATGTGCCCTGACTGGGAATTGAACCGGCAACCATTTGCTTCACAGGCCCATGCTCAATCCACTGAGCTACCCCGGCCAGGGCTAAGCATTTCTTTTTGACCAATCAAGTCCCAGTTGGTTGCCCCCAAAGTCAAAAGCTGCCTTCTGCATTTAGACCCTTCAAGTATGATGCACTCCTTGGTGTGCTCAGTGCTCAGGCTTGGCGATGACCACTGCTTCACTGCATGCTTGCCCCTACTAGGTGCCCTGTGGAGCTCCAAGCTGCCCTCTTCACCACTGCTGTTGTCCATCACAGGGTTTTATTTCTGCAGTCTGTGGTCTTCAGCAGTCTCTGGATGCCTACCTACTGAGTTTTCCAAGCTTCCAAATAGTGTGAGGAAAGTCTTCACATTCCACATGAGATGCATTGTAGAATAACAGATGGGGAGTCATAAAATCTGGATTTGAATTCAGACTCACCCATTAACTAGTTGTGTGGACTCAGGGAATTAGAAGACTCTCTCAGTATCCTCATTTACAGAATGGGAGCAATAGTCCTACCTTATACACAGTTGTTTTGAGGACCAAGAGAATTGATGTATATGAAGCAGGGTATTTCCCTTCAATCTCTCAGCATAGGAGGAGCCTGCTCCAGGGAGGAGAGTAGGAGAACATGGCACCTGGGCAAATTCCAGGCTCCAGCTGTGCACTGAACCCTGCTCACTTGCACATTCTCTTGTTATCTCTAGACTCCCTCCACACGTGCACGTGCACTAGCTACTGCTCGGGAGCTGAGTTAATTGGTTTTAAAGTCTTTTCCTTATCTTTTCACCTGACAGGCCTATATGTGTAGCAGCAGTGTGCCTCTGCAGACAGACGAGCAGTGACCAGACACAGGGAAACTTCACTATGGCTCACATTCAGCTCCTGACAAAAGTCAAGGACTGGCTCAAGATCCAGAGCCTCCTGGCCCGACAGTGCCTGGCAGAGTTTCTGGGTGTGTTTGTGCTCATGGTAAGCAGGGTAACTGGGGGAAGGTGATGGGAGGTGGGCAAAAGCTTTTGGCACCTCCTGTTGTTCTTATCTCTTTCTCCGAAGTCCTGCTTCCTTTCAACTATGCATCATTTCTCCTCCTGCCCCCTTCTTGTCTCTTATACTCCTCTCCTACTTCCTCCTCATTTTTATTCCTGTCCCTTTCTGTATCTCATCCTCCTTCCCTTTCTTTACTTTTTCCCAGTTCTCCCACTTTTCCCTTCCCTCTTTCTGCTTTTCTCCCTTTCTTGCTGATTCCTCAAATTTGTTCATCAGTTCAACTGTTTTGGCTGGTCCCTTCACCTTCCCAGTCACTTTCCCCTGTAGATTCACCAGGCTCCCTATTCCTGGTTCCTTGCTCCTCATCTTCTCTCCCCACCAGGTCCTCACCCAGGGCGCTATAGCCCAGGCTGTCACCAGTGGAGAAAAGAAAGGCGACTTCTTCACCATGTATTTGGCTGGCGCTTTGGCTCCTGTGATAGCCACCTATGTGGGTGGTAATGTCTCAGGTGAGGAGGGGGTGCCTAGTCATCAGACATGCTACGAAATGTGAGTGTGGGTGTATGGTGATGGAGAAAAGGTGACTCATGGACATTATCTCCTTGAGCTTGATCAGTGCCCTGGACTGAGATATGCCTTTAGCCCAGCCCAGCTCCTCCCCTTTCTGTATCTCTCCATCTCCCTTCCTCGCATTAATCCTCTGTTCCCCTAGACAGAGACCTCCTCTTGTGTCCCCTCATTGAAGCCCTCTGAGGCTCATCTGTGCTCAGAACCTTATCTGCTGTCCCCCAGAAACACCCCGCATCAGTATGCCTGGCTGGAACCTTGAGACACAGGCACTGTAGTGGAAGAACAGATCTTGGCTTCATTGTGTGACCTTGACAAGTTGCTTAACTTGGAGATTCAACTTCCTAATTTATATGGTGGGAATAGTAACATCTGCCTTAAGAATTGTGGGGAGTGCCCTCACTGGTGTGGCTCAGTGGATTGACTGCTGGCCTGCAAACCAAAGGGCTGCCGGTTCAATTCCTAGTCAGGGCTCATGCCTGGGTTGTGGGCCAGGTCCCCAGCTGGGGATGCCCAAGAAGCAATCACACGTTTATGTTTCTCTCCCTCTCTTTCTCCCTACCTTCCCTTCTCTAGAAATAAATAAATAAAATCTTAATTAAAAAAAAAAAGAATTGTGGGGAGGAATAGCAATGGTACTCGGTGGTGCCTGTCAGTGACACTTAACAGATATTGGTTTTTTTTTTTTCCTCTTGATCCTTGAAGGGGCTCACCTGAATCCAGCCTTTTCCCTGGCCATGTGCCTCCTCGGACGCCTCCCCTGGGCCAAGTTTCCCATCTACTGCTTCGTGCAGATACTGTCTGCTTTCTGTGCCTCTGGAACCACCTATGCTCTCTACTATGGTAATAGGGGGACAACACGGGCATCTGTGTGCGGGCAGGGCTGCCCCGGAATGCTGTGAATGAGAAAGATGGAAATCCTGGGTGTTTGCTTCTCCAACAGATGCCCTGCAGAACTATACAGGAGGGAACCTGACAGTGACTGGCCCTAAGGAGACAGCTTCCATCTTTGCCACCTACCCTGCTGCCTATCTGTCCGTGAATAATGGCTTCCTGGATCAGGTAGATGTGAGGGGAAGACCTGGGAGAACCCTGACCTTTGTCCCTGCCCTCTGGGACCCTAGTCTATTGTTTAGTCTCTAGGTGGGATGGGATGTGGAGTTAGGTCTATCTTTGCCCCACTCCCCAACCCAGCTGCCTGTATTGACAAAGTCAGATGACAGAGTGGTGGTGGCCTGGACTGTTTGGGTGAGAGAGGGAAGATGGAGCACCTGGCAACTGTTGGGAACCCTTCTGCATCTGTCCACTCAAAGGTTCTGGGCACCGGGATCCTGGTTGTGGGCATCTTGGCCATCGTGGACAAACAGAATAAGGGAGTACCTGCAGGTCTGGAGCCTGTGGCAGTGGGGCTGCTGATCCTGACCATCGGGCTGTCCATGGGTGTCAACTGTGGATGCCCACTCAACCCTGCCAGGGACCTGGGCCCACGACTTTTCACCTATGTGGCTGGCTGGGGCCCTGAAGTCTTCAGGTACGAGATGACTCCCCCTGGTGCTCTCCTTTCACTCACCTTCCTCTGCTAAAAGCACTGTTCCCGGGTTCCCGGCTTTCTCCCTTAAATAGTTCTCCTGGTCTCTTAGGACAGTGCCCCAGTTCTCCCTTTATCTCTAGTCCTCCCCCTGCCACCCTTTTCACTGAAACAGTAAGATTTAGAGTTTGTATTCCGGGACACATATTACCTCTTTGGGCATTAGTGACCTCATCAGCAAAACAGGTATATTCAGATAATTACCTAAGGCAAGATGCTAGACTAAGCTCTCCTGGGGACTCCTCCTAAGTGCTAGGCTTTCATGCCAAGACACCTTCTCCCTGGTGTCCATCACCCCAGAAACTGCTTAGAGAGTTCTCTTGCTACTGCCCCCAGTCCTTTGGGAGAAGGCTAGGTGCATCACCCCTGATATCTTTCTTCTGTCCTTCTCTTGCAGTGCTGGTCATGGCTGGTGGTGGGTGCCTGTGGTGGCCCCTATGGTGGGGGCCACCCTTGGCACAGCCACATACCAGCTGCTGGTGGCTCTGCACCACCCCGAGCCTCTGAATTCACAGCCAGCTCAGGATCTAGAGTTTGTTCAACAGAAAGCCCCGAATTTGTAAACAACTGCCTCCAATGAGATGCCATAGCATAAGCTATGACTCTGACACAACAGCCTACTCCTACCTCCCCCATGGACACTGAAGAGGGCCAGAGACCCAGACCTGGCGACAGCGGGCTCTGGGAAGCTTCTCTGTTTACTCACCTAGGCTTCCTCCTAAACTGGGGAGGATGCCTGGACAGGGAGAGCATGTAGATAAGGTCCAGTCTTCGTCCTCTCCTCCCCCAAGGCCGTTTTGGTATCCTGCGGGCTTCCAAGAACGTAGTTCCTCAAAGCGGCCGTGTAGATAAGGTCCAGTCTTCGTCCTCTCCTCCCCCAAGGCCGTTTTGGTATCCTGCGGGCTTCCAAGAACCTGGTTCCTCAAAGCGGCCGCCAGAGGATGCGCACCCTGGGAACCGGATCGGGAAAGCTGCGGGAATCTGCAGGGCGCTGGGGGCCGACTGTCCGGTGGAGGGGCATAACCCTGGGGACTTCTTCCCAAGCTTAGTCCCCACTGCCTGACTCCCAGTCCTCGTAATCGCAGCGCCTCTGCCCCTAGGCTCAGCCAGCCCCCAGATAACGGGTACAGGTGGGGAAACTGCTTCCACCAAGGGGGCGTGGTGAGGTCCGGGCGGCGGGAGGGTGGTGGAGAAGACGGGACGGGCGATGGAACCCAGCCATTCAAGCGCCTAGAGACCCGTGGAGCAAAGAGGAGAAACTGAGGCACAACGCAATACGTAGACATTCTGGGCAGGGTGCAGTACAACGAGACAACCTGCGGGAGGAAAGAAGGCGAAGACACAGAAGGATTCGAGGGGAATGAAAAAAAGGGTTAAGGGAAGGCTGGTACTGAGGAAAATCATCGCTGTCCGTTGCTTCCCGGCTCTCGTGCCCCTCCCCGAAGAAGACTCCTTTTCAGCAAAGAAGACAGCTTTTTCCAGTTGCCTTTCTTTCATGTAATACAAATCTCAGAACTGTCTCGCCTCCTGCTTGATTCATGGATGTTTTGGAAGCCGGATGGACTTGGCAGTGGGTGGGCGGAGGACGCGACCGGGTCTTCTAGGTCTGCTCGAGAACTAAGACCGCCCCCTGCCCCGCACAAAGATGGCGGCGCCGGCCTCGCCTCCCTCTCCCCAAATCCCCCTCCCGCCCCCCGCCCTCTCCCGCCGCCTCCGTCACTTCCGCCCCGCCGTGGCCGAAACTGACACAAAGTAGCGGGCCGAGGCCCTGGGGGGAGCGGGGCTGCAGCTGGGGGGCGGGAGCCCGCGGGGAGCCGAGCCGAGCGCCCCCCGCCCCAGCCCCCGGCATGGGCAGGACGGGGCCGCCGGGGCGGGCGCCGAGCACTGAGCCCTGAGGTGAGGCCAGGAGAGGCGGGTCAGCCCCGGGGCGCAGGGCGGAGGGCAGATGCGGCTGCGGGCGCGGACTCGGGGCCGTAGGGGCGGGTGCGGGATGTAGGAGGACTGGTCAGGGAGTCGGGAGCCAGTGAGACGGAGAAGAGGGTGTCGGGGTGCCCGAGGATGGGGAGATGGGAAGGCTTTCTGTAAGACGGGTGGCTGGGTGCTGAGGGGCGCGTGGAGACCAGGCAAGGGGCGCCGGAGTGCCAAGGAGAGCAGCTTACGGAGCACCGGAGGGAGGAGAGGAGTAACCGGGGTCCCAGGGTTTGGGTGCCTGGAGAAGGGAGTTGGGGACTGGTAGGCTTTGTCTCTGTGCATGAGGGAAAGCAAGGGTGCAGGAGAGGTGGTCGCTTTGGGAGTTCAAAGATCTAAGGGGTTGAGTCCTGGGTTCTGTCCTTGGGTATGGAAAGTGGCCAAGGGTGATGTTGGAGGCAAGGGAGCTGGGGGTGTTGGATTCCATTTCCTGCTGTTTCCCTGACCTGCCCACAAATATCCCTGCCAGCCTCCTCTGAAGGAAGGGGGTCTGTCTTCCCCGGGGCAGCAGGGGCCAGGTCTAGAAGCAGAGCCGTTTTCCTCCATGGAGTATTGCCTTCTTCCCAGAGCTGGCTATTTTTATCCTAAATGTGGCCGCAGATGAGGCCGAGGCTGGGGCTGGGGCTATGGCAGGACGCCGGGCAGGGCAACATGGCTTTTGGCCCTTTTTGGCCCTGACTGTGTGAGACTGGGAAGGAGAAGTGAGAAGAGTCCTTGTTCCCAGTTCTCCCCTGCCCTTTCCCTTCCTAGTACAGCCCCCAGAGGGTGTGAAGTCTGGGGCCAAGCCAGCTTTCAGTCCCCCAGGGTCCTGGAGGTCAGCAGCTCTCCTGGGCAGTGCCCAGACCCTTCACGAACTTTTCTGTAGGACTCAGACTCAGATCCGTGGGCCGACAGTGCTTCCCTCCGAAAGGGCCGCGCTGACCGTGGGACTCAAGATGCCCACCCATGCATCCTCTCCTTTGACTTCTCCCTCTACACCCCACCCTCCCATGACTCACGCTCTAGACTGGGTGGAGACCCTGGCTGGGGGCCCTGGGGGAGGGCTTGGCATCTCTAAAATGTGGATGAGGTTTTTCTTCCTGAGCCAGGCACCCTTGGCTGCCAGAGTTGGGGAGGGTCCCAGAGGAAGAGGACTTCTGGTGTTCAGTATTGCCCTATCTGAGGTTGGGAAGGGAGTCTGAGTTTGTGAAGAGGACTGGTGTGGGTGACAGGGCTCTGGCCAGAGTCTGTAATTATGGAGGTTGGGCAGACAGGCAATTAGCATCTCTTGGGGCTGACAGGCTGGCGGGGTGTGCCCAGTAGGCTGGATACAGGGGAACTGAGGAGGAGGAAGGCTTTCCACCCAGACAAAGAAAGAGTAGGTGACAAGAGGACCCAGGACCTGGCAGTTTCCTTGTGGGCCAGGCTGGGGCGTAGGGTGAGGCTCTGTGACTCTGTCTTATAAGCTGGAGCTTTTACCTTTTTAGGTGAAAGGAAGGACATGGGAAGATGGAAGGAAGCAGAGGTCCATCTGACTGATGCTCCCTGAACCCATACCCAGGGCCATACTGGCTGGACTAGGTTTGGGGTGGGAGCGAGAGAACTCCTCATGGGGTTGGAAGATCCCTTTGCTAGTCCAGAAAGGTGGCTGACCAGACTTAGAGGAAGTGATTTGGGGACTGTGTGCAGGAAGTGAAGGCCATGCTTCTAATGTGTGGTCCCCTGGAGGAGGTGATAATGGGCAGGGGGTTGGAATAGGAGGGTTGTAAACTTTTTGAGAAGGGTGGAGCCTGCCCACCCGGTTTCCTGATGCTCTGCCAGGTGTTTCCTGACTGGTGTTCACTCAACCGCACCCTTTGGTGGAAATTCTGCTTTCCAGTAAGCACAGACACCACTCATTGTCACTAGGAGGGCACATGGGTGCATCCGTTGTTCCTGAGATGGGTACCTGGAGCCCTGTGCCCTCCTCTCTGCCCCCTTCCTTTCCCCATAGGCCTTGGTTTTTGTAAATTGCCAGTCGTCCCCCCCCCCACGCCCGCATCCCCTATTATCCAAGGCAGAGGCATGGAGGGATGTGGTAGGGAAGGCTCCTGTCTCAGGGACCCATCAGAGCAGTAAGGGCAGAGTGTTGGTGGGAAGTTGGTGGGTAAGGCTGAGGATGGAGAGGCAAGGTCAGAACTGGGGAAAAGAACCTTCAGGAGGAGTCTGAAGAGGGGAATGAAGGGTCACCCTCAGGTTCTTGACCTCACGCACATGTCACCTTCCTGCAGGGTCTCCCATGGGATTGCTGGGACCTTGCTGGGTGAGATGGCATTGTGTGCAAAAAAGCACCCCCCAGGTAAGACAGGCAGGAATCGGGGGGGGGGGAGGCTGTTACGGGGCCTATCACGAGTGGGTGTTATGGCTCAGGGAGCAAAGGGGAGAGGGACACCTGGTAATGACTCTGAGCAGGGTAGTTTGGTACTCTTACCCATCCCGGCAGGAGCCCAGGAAACCAAATTCTTTCCTTTGATCCCAGAGCTAGATTCTCTGGGAGGGTGTTGAGTACCTGCCCCTCACCCCTAAACACATAGATTGTTATCTTTGGGCACCTGGCGCTCCTGTTCTCTGGCCTGTAGAGGCTGGGGAGCTGTTTCCATCTACTCCCCTCCATCCTCACAACTCCCGGTCTCCCTCCTTTCTCTGCTCCCTTTTCCATCCAGCCGGGTCCTTCTCATTTTCCTGTGGGCGGGGTGGGTGGGACCAAAGCTGTTGCCCCCGACAACGTCGTCCCCTCGCCCGCATTGGCCTGGCGGGGAGGCGGGGCTGGGCGAGAGCTTTCGCCTACGCGGCGCTTGGCAGGCCCGGCCCTGCGGCCCTGCGGAGGGAAGCGGGTGGGGGCGGAGCCGGGAGCGCGAGCACGGCTCGGGACCACCCCACTTACCGGGTCTGCGGGCCCATCGCACTGGCAGCCGAGGCTCAGTTGACAGTGTGGCGTACCCGGGTGAGGGAGGCCGAGAGAATGGCCGGGGCGGCAGGTGGGGCGCGTGCCCGACGGCCCGGGCTCCCCTCTGAGTGGCCACAGCTCCTGCGCCTTCCTGGGGGGCCACCCCATCGGCGCCACTGAGCCCAAGGACCGACCGACAAACAGGCCGCCCTCCCCTGATCTAACCGGGATCATGACGGTCCCCAAGGAGATGCCAGAGAAGTGGGCCCGGGCCGGGGCGCCCCCCTCCTGGAGCCGAAAGAAGCCCTCTTGGGGGACAGGTAACGGGAGGCAGCAATTGGCAGTTTACCCGAGCCCATAATTTTTCCTCTCCTAATCCTCACATTTGCTTATCCTCAGCCTTCCCCAACCTTCCCCGTTCCTCTCCTTTCCAGACCTAGAGGTACTGGTTCCGAAGGGTCCGGTCCCTGCCTCTCCTTTTGCATGGTATTTGGTGACTTCAGAGAGGGCTCAGCCAGAGGGTCCCCTCTGGGGAAATTTCTGAGAATGAAGTGATGATGCAGGGTGGGAGCGCGCTGGGTAGGCAGGGATGCTGTGGTCTGAGGTTTTGTTACTGCAGTGTGCTCTGCAGGGGTCTTGGGAGGGAATGAGGGAAAGGGTCCAGGATGCTGCTTTTGGCTTCTGGACAGAATTAAGGCATTATGTTTACTGTCTAACCAGGATGCACCCTTTTTCAGCCTGAGGTATTTGTGACCCTGGGAGATGGGCTGCAGAACCCTTCATAAGACACCCCCATGATCTGTACCTGAACTTGGGGCCTGCAGTCCAGGGTCTGAGGAGGTTTAGGATAGGGTGTAGGTCATTTGTCACTCAGTTAGTGGTAAATGTGTTATTTAGGGGAAGTACGTGCAGATGGCACAAGAAAGATTTTACTGTTACAGAGCATTTGTTTCAAGTAGATCCCATTCCTTCATGTCTGTCTCAGTCTGCATGACCCATATGCCTGACCCCCCTTCTACTTGAAGATGAGCTTTAAAATAAGGTGATGTCATTGTAGGCCAGTCAGAAGCTGCTGCTGGTGACATGTGACAAGCAGAGGCTCCTTTAGGGGGGACTGCACGTGGAGCTGGGATACTGCCGCAGAGCAGTTCCAGGGCACTGTGACCCTCTGTGTCATCACCCACCCCACCCCCAGGTTAGAGGGGGCAGTACCATGGTTAGATCTACAGGGGTTCCCAGGGCAAGGAAGCTTTGTGTCTCCAGTTGCTGTTCCTCTGGGGATTCCCAAGACATTCATGCCTAAGATGCTAATTAAAGGGATGGGGAGAGGAACTGAGTGCCCCTAATGGGAGACCTTGACGGTTGGTGGGAAAGGAGAAGGCATCCTGTCTTGTGAATGTAGCGCCCACAGAGCCCAGCAGTCAGGCTAGTGAAAGGTGGACCAGAGAAAAGAATTTAGTGACGCTTCAGGAGTGGCACTGACTCTTTAGAACTCTGTACTGTGGAAACAAGCAAGGATCCTTGGTGGAAACCCCACAAAGTGGGGTGGGCCTCACAGATTGTTGGGCCAAGCCTCATTTTGCTCCTCCTGACTGCAGCATCATTCTGTTGCAGAAGAAGAAAGGAGGGCGCGGGCCAATG